ATATTAGTAATTAGTTCAATTAGCAATATTCTCCCGTAAACCCAACTCTCCGTGGCACATATATATATATATATATATATATACTCATATTAATATTTTATTGACAAATAAACATGTTGTTTTAAACTATCTCTATTATAAAATAAAACATAACTTACCCCCTTCATGTTCATGAAAAGCTTCAATTTCCATGGTACCTATGTTCGATGTAAAATCTGTTAGGGATAAAAACATTACCTTCAACTTTCTTAAAGGTGTTTTTTATTTTTATTTAAAGAGCCATGTTATAACTTTAAAAACATTTTGTATGTTTTTCTTAAAGTCTTTAGATTAATCAGTTTTAAACAACAGTATTTTTAGAGCCAAATCTGTGCTTTTGTTCTTTAAGCTATGAGAAACACTGAATCATCCAATAGATGAAATGACGAAAGTACTATTTTATTTCTAGCACAAGCTTTTTTTAATGGACATATAAAAGGTTGGGTACCAATGATAGACAGTGAAAATTCTTAAAACGTTTACAAATAATCATGAACACACGATACACCTGCTTCATTGTATTGATAAACAGAAGTGAAATATGAAAATAGATAATTTCATTTCCCAAATATAGCGTGTGGTCATGTGACCAATCTACATTATCCAATTCTCTATAACCATCATACTCTAAACTACGAACACTTTTCCTCTGTCCAGGAAGTGAAGCGATCTCTAATATCTTCTCACACTCCTCCAATACTTCACTTTCTACCATACTTGAAAGCAAACTACTCCATAAGCTGACAAGTCTATTAGAAAAGTAACCATCTTAACTGGAATCATGTTTCAGTTTTCCAAATCTCAAACTTGTGCCTTCTAGCCTTAAGGATATATTTTGTGATATAAAATATCTAATCTGATTGCAGATTATTTTACAGGATAAGCCTCCATCTTGTGTGAAACCCACATTTCAGATATATCTTAACAAAACATACAGATAACAAGGGACTATTTGGCCCTTCAACCCACCATTTAATTTTCAGGAAATTATCAATTCTCCTTTTAAATTCTTGTAAAATATCAGGCTCCAATCCTGCCAAAAACAACTCATACAATAAACCAATCATCTTCTTATCCTACATTCTTTAGAATATAGCAAAATTAAATTAAAGGTCTTTATTCTATCAATAAGATCACAATAACGTCTGGAAAAAGTGGGTTACCCAGGATACAAATAACAAATATGGTGGAAATTCAACAGGTAAAAATTAATATTTGGAGCATATACTTATTAAGATACTGAGATAATATCAATTCAATTGTACATTTATTTTCTCCGATATAATTATTATAAGTTTCATGCTGTATTCCATACTAACATAATTCATGCATTTTATCGGGCTTGATCAAATCACATTCCCCAAGGAAAGTCATCTCTGTTGGTTGGAAAAAGAGCTTTGCAATTTCTATTGTCCCAAGATAAAGTTTTATAATCATAAAGCTTCCCAAGAGCTGTTACGTTAAACAGTAATCACCTAGTACCAAAGCAGTAATTACAAGTTTACATTATGTAATGTTCATGTGCACTGACAAACAAATGATAAACTTAAGATATTTTATGATTAGGGTTGATAACCATTACACAAGTTACTTAACTATTTTTTATTCAGCAGTAAAATACTGCATTCAATTTCAGGTAAGAATGGAAGATGACCTGTTCCTCATTTTGTCTAGGGTGAATCACTTTTCGTAATTAGTTTTTAGACAAAAATGTTGAAATTTCAGTAAATGTTATCAAGCATGAACAAAACTGTTCAAGTGGCAACCCTATTTACAACTCCAGTCTTTTAACTACTACTACTAGTACCCTTTGATATATTACTGATGGAGCTATGAACTATACAAGTTCTGATGTTTCTGCAGCCAGTAAAGTATTACACAGAAGTTCGGGGTGGCTAAAAGAAATCTGATAATTCATCATGGAATGTATTGCTATCGTTAACAGTATAAGCCAGAAATTTAAGAGAAATCAACAGTATCCTGAAATGGAAACATCGAGTTTAAATGTTTGCCTTTTTCCATGAGTGAATGTGCAACAATGGCTTTCCAAATGGTTCCTATTATTGTACGTAGGTTATATTATATTAAAAAACAAACTATGCCATATAAAAAGGCATAATTGTTATACTGATATTAGAATTAGTTCAATTAGCAATATTTCTCCCGTAAACCCAATCTCCGTGGCACGAGGTTCAGCAATCGAGCATGCTTAGGATATTTAGATTAGTCTTAAACCCATATTCCAAGCTAACAGTACCTTAACTATAAAAAAGTACAATAATAAAAATTGATTAGATATATTAAACATTCTAACCAATAGTGTTAAAACATAAACTAAAGAAAGTATAGAATTTACTTTACTTTTTACGCGCGAAAGTAACTCTTGCACAGAAATACTTCAATGGTTTTCTTGTTCAGCGCGTCCCCTACGCAAGAAAATTGAAGGGGAAATGGTATTTTTCTTTTGTTATTCAGTTCGCTGTACAGGAATATTTAATATAAATGGAAAGTAACAATAAAAAAATCATACACGATAACATTTTGAAGAGTACATATTTAAATGAGTTGGATCAATTGGTAAGTTGGACAAATATTTGGTAAATTAATGTTTTTTATTTTTTTAATTTGGACCATATTGTTGAGTCAGCGAGGTCACGTGACTAGTATCACGCCACCTCTTTCTAGAAATATCCTGTTACTTCAAGAATGCCCTTGCATTTACTAGATATGTGTTAGTC